GGAGGGATCATGGGGAGGGCTGTATGGGAAAATGGGAGATAGGGGAGGAGAGGGTAAGAGGGAGGGGGTACGAGTGAAGGAGGAGGGAGGATGGAATAGGGAGAGAGGGAGGGAGGTAGAAAGAGGGAGGAAGGGCGGGGTGAGAGGCAGAAAATAGGGGAGGAGGAAGGGGAGAGTCAGAGGGAGGGAGGGAGGAGGGGAAAGCGGAACGGAGGGGAGGGCGGGGGTAGAGGGAGAGATGGAGGAGGCGAGATTTATGACCGACGGGAAGTGATCACCATCTTTTAACCCGGTTCAGATGATGTGGAAAACGCGATTAAAGTGGTGCTTCCATCCGTTGCTCCTTGTTTGTGCCGCACACACACGCAGCCGGGAGTGAGCCAGCCACGCAGTCACCAATTAAAGGAGGCTTATCTAATTAATTCAAACGATCCTCCCCCCCTTAATTATACGTCCGTTCGTTGTAGGCGATTATGAGTGAGTGGTGTAAGAGATGGCGACGGCGAGAGAGAGAGAGAGAGAGAGAGAGAGAGAGAGAGAGAGAGAGAGAGAGAGAGAGAGAGAGAGAGAGAGAGAGAGAGAGAGAGAGAGAGAGAGAGGAGGGAGAGAGAGGGAGAGAGAGAGGAGCTGGAGAAGAGCTGATAAATATGGGTACGAAGCTCAATCTCCGTGCCCTGATACTCGGCCTTGAATGTTAATGAAGCATTATCTCTTGCCTATTACACGCACACACATAGACAAAGACGCGTACACAACTACACGCGCACGCACGCACGCACGCACACACAAACACACACATATTCACGTATACACACATTCAAAGAATATTCAAAGTGCCGATGTATTGATTTTGTAGCATTGTATACGAAGGAGTTCTACATGTATTCTTATATTTTTTTCACATTTTTATAATACAAACCCGTTTCAGTCTCTATATTCATTTTTCATAACGTGCTCAAAAGATTCGGCAAGGCCCTTTGAAAGTAATTTCTTAAGGTACATTCAAAGTATTTTGCATATATTATAGAGACAATGCGCACTTCCATTAAGGCCAATAAATCTATCCTGTCTGTTTTGAGAAACACGTTCCGAATTTATGTGACACGATTTATAAATTACTTTTCATTCTTTCAAAGATATTGCAGTGTTATGAATTATTTCACTTAAATTCTATACCGTGGCATTCCTTTTAAGTATACACATTCAAGCTCTCTCAAAATACACAACATCTAATTTGCAAACAGATACGAAATTGTGCACGCGAAAATATGATGTTAACAAAATGCATGGTTGTTACAAACAGAGTGTCAGCAACATGAGTTTCTTTCAGGGCACTTATGTGGCATTCGGTGCCTCGTTACAATGCATGGAAAATGGAAGTTCTCTATTGCTTCGTGACGGATAAGTCATATCAAAAGATATTAGAACCCAGGGAGGTATGTAAATGATACGCTTTATCTGTGGGTATCACAGCATATTATTCTGATATTTTAGTTCCATGTTCACGTGTGAAAGTATTACACCGTCGGAAAGTATACGAGGGAGCAAGTTTATGACTATCCACTTCTCACATTTCTCGATAAATCTTGCAAATCGCACATCCAACACCAATGATTTCACTCATGCATGAAGTCATTTAGACGTCGAGGAATGGCAACAGAGGCGAAGATGTGGATTACTGGACGTAGTTATGGCGGACCATCGAGCCCGGGAGGACTGGCGGCGACTCGAGTGTAAAACCTGATGTGCGGCGGCGGCGGCGAGGACAATGGGAGTTTAATATTAATGGATGCGATGCGGCGTAATGATGCATGGTGTGTGCCATTTCTCTCGGGAATATCAGGTCCATTTATTTCCCCCTTTTTTTCGTTTTCTTTCGTCCGAGAATACATTTTGTCAAATAGTTCAGAAGAAAGAGTTTCCATCTAATGGAACGAAACGATAGCGAAGCCTTCACCATATTCAAAACCCGTGGATTCTAGACGAAAATTACGCCTCTTCCAACGGCTTTGTCCTGAGGTGACATAGACAAACGGAGGACCAACTACATGGGCGAACGGCGTTGGGCAACACAAAGCAACAAAGTCGTTATCGCTCTTAGTACAGCCTCTGCTTATATTAGGTTTGTGCCGGTGCATCCTGTGGCGAACCGGATGCATAAGGAAGCAGCGTGACCCCGCTCTTCTTTTCCCTTAATAACCTTTATCTCATGTCCGGCGAGTTTTACAGTTCACCCCGAGGCATAACCTTTCATGAACCACCGTGGTTAACCAATCAGACGTAGGCAACTGTAATTAATTTTGGTTTGATTATTACAAAGGCGACATCATTACATATCAAGTCCGGGCTATTACTCAAGAACATCTAATGAAAAAGTTATATTATAGATAATGTATTTTTCCTATACTGTGAGAGACGTGTACTCACTCTCCTACGAAGTCCTCACTGAAAGCACTAGTACGTCCTCTTTTGTATTTAGGTCAGCAGTGAACAGCATAAT